AATATTCGATACTGTGCTGCAAGTTTAGTCCACCGGGATATTCAGGAACCGAATTCCTGATATCAGGCCAAACACTCTTCCCCTCAGATTTCCATCCCAATAATTCAAAATGAAATTGTGGGGGCAGGTTATACATAAAAACTTTGAGCACTTGTTTACTAGGATTGCACTTAAACAAATTATACTTTCTCAATGTTCCTTTGTTAGAATAATCAATTTGAGCACTGGATTGTGTATAACCTTCATCGGATAAAGCAAGAATCTTGGACTTTGGTAATATATTAAGGTAAAATAAGTGTCTCCGGGAAGTTGAACGCAGCACAAATAACAAAGATAGCATGAACATAACAGAAGTAACTGAAAACATAGTAAATAAGGATTTTCGACCGAAAAATCCCATAGAATGTACATTTCTCTCTGCCATTGTAATTCTATTTCAGTGAGTCAAAACTCATATAGATGTTATCAAAAATTACAGCATATGATACAGCCAAGAACAATATAATCATTCATTCTACACAAAACTAAATGAAATTCCTCATTCAGCTCACACCAAAATTATGTCTTTGTCCTTTTCCTAGGCATTTTTCACACCATCAATACAAGAAAAAAAGGAATAATTTGAAATAAATGGAGACGCCTTCTATTAACCAATGTATGAATAAAATGTTAGACCCTTTTATTGAAAAACGAAAAGGGTAGGGGAAAAACACGAGAAAGACGAAGAAAAATGGGTTCTTGAATACCAGTAAGAGAAATTTGTCAATAGAGCTGAATGTGGGGATGAGAAATGAACAAAAAAGCAAGATTTTTGAAACCCAGATCAGAAACCACGTGAATTTGATTCAAATATATTGAAGAAATGGAACAAAAGGACAAAGAGGAGGATAGAGTAGTTGCACCAAATACAAAGGGTTAATTCCAATGAACAATTCCCGTTTCTTTTGTCTTCAGGTAAAAAAATGTAAAAGAAAACAAAAAGATACTCAAAATGCAGCAGGGAATGGGGAATCTTCTCTGTAGAAGCGGGCTCATCGGTGTTTGCTGACAACTGCAACAACAACAACGACCCAGTATAATTCCGCTAGTGGGGTCTGGGGAGGGTAATATGTACGCACATCTTAGGCTGTTTCTAGGAGACCTTCGGCTCAAAAAAGCTAGAAGAAGATATATTAATACCATAAAAATGCATAATAAAAATAACAACAATATATTTACCTAAGTTTGCTGACAACTCAGGTACTTTAATTATTTACTGCTTTGTAATTAATCTTTTTTCTTTTTCTTTTCTCGAACGCTGTTTGGTACCTATCACTTTTGGACCCGGATTTGTGAGGTCTACTTATTTTTATTTTATTTTATTTTTTTACCCACAGTGAAGCATCCCTTATATTCGGATTTGTGCTGTATAAGACCCTATTCAGGGAAAAGCGTTCCGTATCAAGAATTTTTTTATACTCAAGACCTGAACCGCAACCTCTGATTAAGGGAATAACAGTCACATTCACTGCACCACATCCTTTGGTGGTTAGTTATCTCTTTCAGTTTTATTTTATGTAAATTGATTTGATTAGGCATGAATTTTAAGGTTAAATAGAGGCGGAGTTGATGTTCATAATTTTTAAATTTACCCTCAAACTCACAGTTCATTTTAATTATTAAATTTGTAATTAAATATTTATACATGTTACTGGGTTCATCTGAATCCATTCCTAATACTCTAGTTCTGCCCCTACTTTTTAAACTTGTGATCTTGTATATGATGGAACATTTGTTTGATTAAGAATTTTATAATTTACGAGGTTTTAAAAACATCATAATATTTGTGTGATTATAAACGTTTGAAAGTTTAAGGATAAATTATTTTTGAATTTACAAATATATTTTTTGGAACAGATTAAAATATATATATATATATATATATATATATATCACACTATATTAAAAGCACGAATGCCCTATCGAAATGTCGTTTGTCTTTTTTACCCTTTAAAAATATTTTACATTGGATAAAATTGTAATTAAATTATTTTCCTAAAATTATAAGTTAATTATTTTCCTTATATTTAGGACTTTCGAATCAACTGAAACTTTAGTTATTAAATCTTTTTTTCCTTGTTTGAACAATATGAAAATCCCTAATATTCAAGAACTTAATTCACCTAGGATTTTATATCTAGACTTCTGATCCTAAATAGATTATCCAAGTTAGAATAGAACAGTTTACCAATACGTTAAAATATTAAATTTATTAGATAATATTTGAGACTTATCAGTCATTAGGATTTAGGAATTTGGGGTAGCAACTATGAATATGATAAGGCACGTAATTAAGAAACGAAAGAACTTGCGGACATGAAATAACTTGAGCTTGCAGACGTTAAATTTTAAATGTATCTCATTTTTTCTTCCTAATTTTTCTTTTAATAATAATAACAGAAATAATAAAAATATTATAATATTTAAAAAGTACACTGATCATAATTATAATAAATTACTAACATTTAAGAGTAGAAAAGAAAGCGGAAGAGTGAGAGAGGAAGAAAAGTTGTAGATAAAAGTCAATGACACAAATGATTTTACAAACATAAAGATTCAAACGTGAAATATCATTGTTTTATGCTTTAAAAATATATTTTTTATTGAACAAAATTTATAATTACAATTAATATTTAAAACTATGGATGAGCCAATATGAAAATTTTGAATCAACAAAAACTAAACATTTCCTTTAAGGTTGTGAAAAAAATAATTAAGCCTTTAAATTAACTTATTAGCAAAAGAATTTAATTATTTTTAAAATTTGACATATAAGTAAAATTATTTTAAGTTGACAAAACACTTAGTACATAGATTTATTTCGATACCAAGACCATTAGTGGTGAAAGAAATTTTAAAAAAAAAAGAAGAAGAAGAGTAAAATTAATAAAAGTATAGTATTGAGAGTCAAACAGATAAATATGCAAATTTGAAACAATAAGAATGATATAGTAAAAGACAAAAAATATTCTAAACGAATTGGTACTTATTATTATACATTTGTTTCCATAAATAACAACTCGCTCTATTTTTTTATATATTAAGTTATTTATTGTAAAATATTAAGTCAATTACCCATTTTAGCTGTAGCGTCAACCTCTTTTTCTCAAAAAAAATGAGAAATTCAATTTTAGTATTTTATTGGGTTTATTCATTGAGATAGGGTACACGCGCAACGCGCGTACTCTAAAAACTAGTATATATATAGAGAGAGTCATATAAATGGAATAAAGAGAGTATATATTATATGTTGTTCAAATGTAGGTAGTAATTTTCCTAGGGCAAGTTACACATTTAGCGGCTATACAATATAGTTTTCCCTTTTTTTCTTTCGTTCCCAGTTTTCTTTCAGTCAGATGTTGATTCAACTTTAAGTTCAACAAACGCAATATGAGTCTGTAAAGTATCCCAAGACACACATTTATTACTTATAGCTAACGGTGAATATTAAAGTTATTTAAACGATTATTAAGGCTAAAAAGTTGATGTAAGGATGAACAGAGCTTAAAATCTGGATCTGGTTTACCTAAAGGTGAGCTTAATCCACAAAAACATAAATCAAGTCTTCATTACTGAATCTGTTTTAAAAAAAAAAAAGCTTTATTGTATACTTGAAAGTTTAACAAGAAGTACGATGATAAATCTTATACCTTGTCCTTTTTATATGTCACTTTAACCGAAAATCACATTAGTAAACGAAGAAGGTATTGTCTTTTTCCTTTTTGTTTTTCCAACTGCACCCTAATTATAACTCCAATAAAGCATATAGGTAATAGGATCATTAGGAGTATTACTCAAAGTTATCTTTTTGGCCAAGTTTCTCCACGGTTAAAAATATTATTTTTTTTCAAAATTGAGGTGTTTGTCCAATCTTTTGGAAGAAAAAATAATAATTTTGAGTAGAATTAGAAGTAATTTTTGAGAAGCAGAAAAATATAGCTTCTCCCCAAAAGCATTTTTTTTGAAAAGCACTTTTCATAACCGAAAGGCCGGCGGCAGTGGCAAACCTAGAACTTTATACAAGCGGGTTCAAACAAATACTAGTCTTCGGCAGCAAGTATACTGGTCCTCGGCTATGGTCCACATTAAAAGGGAAACTAAGTTAACACACAAGGTTTACCTTGCTCTCTTTATTTAGGTTCTTAATATAATGTTAAAGAAAAAATTGCTCGCTACTCTTTATATTAAGTCGCCTTGTTTTTTTCTAAAATAATTTTTTTTTACCTAGATTTCAACAGCAGATCTATTTCTCTACATATTTACAATCGCCTTGTTTATTTTCTTTTAAAATTTACCTAGATTTCAACAGCTGATCTATTTCTCTTCATATTTGCAATTTATTAAAACTTATTTTATAAAATTTATCGTAACAAACATTAATTTGATCTATATTAAAATATCAAACCCATAATTTTGACTCACGCTAGCCGTAAACCAAAAACAACATAAGAGAGCTATAAACTAAATTAAATTAATAATTTCAATATAAAAAGTTCCAAAACTATGAAAAAAAACTAATACATAAAATAAACAATAAGAGAAAGAAGAAAAAGAAACAACAGTGGCGATGCATGTCGATAATGAAGAGACAAGTAAAATAGTTTAAAATAACATGAAATGTTTCATATAAAAAGGTTGTCAAGTTTTGATAGAATAATATTTGAAGTAAAATCAAAAACGAAAATCATTACGTATATAACTACCAATTTATATAAATTGTATTTTTATGTATGTTGGGGTCCTTTAAAATATTCACCCCAATAGCTCCATTCTTAAAGCAAAAGGAAATGAACACACCTCGGCATAATGCTTTCAAATCACGGAGATAGATTGTTAAAGTTATGTATGTGTTTATGTGGCTTTCCCTTATTTAGCACATCTATGTATAAATATAAAGTTGGGAATGTGATATGTGAGTTGGCATATCTCATAAGCCAAGAAAGGTATTTATCTTTCTTTTTTCATTTTTTTGCCTTCTCTCTTCCCATTTTGCTCAAAAAACCTCTAATATTTTTTGTTCTTTTCCCCTTCCCTATTTAAAGTCTTTATTAAATATATGTATAATGACGACAATGAAGAGTTATAGTGTGGTGGAGAGCTGTGTAAAGACAATAAAGAATTCCTGATGATTTGAATAGTCATAACACGGTATCATCTTGGTCATGTAGAAAGGCATCCTAATGAGTGGACTGGTTCTCCAACATCTTTCATCTACAATCCTCTATATATCACGGTAGCAACCGATGATGATCTTGACATCGTCATGAATGGTGTTTTCAGTAAGAAACTAAACTTTCCCCAGAAAATCTCAATTAGTAAGTTCTTATTACTTAATCTTTTAAGTTGAACCATTTTTATTGCTTCTTTATTTATATTTATCTATAGATAATATAAACCGAGAATGGACTAAGTATTGTGGCTTTCAAAAGGTGGAAGTGGAAGACCTGTCTGATTCTGCTATTAGTGTCCTATGTGACTATTTTATGAAGTCAAGAATCTATGAGGTTATTTTGTTTACGTATTATAAACTCAAATAGCATTGAAATTGAATATTTAATCTTTTATCTATAACACCTCAATGAAATTTAAAGTTTCTATTGTACTTCCAAATTATTACTTCATACACTTTTGTGATTGTATCTTTGATTTTATAACATTTAGAAGGTTTATGTAATGTCCAGATGGATGAGCTATAGCAGTGAATGTAACTCTACCATGGGCAAGTAGTTTTTTTCTTCAGGACTATGAAACCTTTCTCCATAGATTGTTAAATTGATCCCTTCAAATTATTGTTGAAGTACTCCGAGAAAATGAAGTGCTCGAAATGGTCTGAGTGAATAGGTGGGTCATTACAACTTTAGTCTTTGGAAGGAGTAATTCATTTCACGTTTGAGGAAAAACAACTCTATGCTTATACATAAAGATCATTTTTTCTTGATTTTTTTCCCTCTTTCTTTACATGTCCTTTTAAGAAAAAGAAAAAAATATAGTATGTATATATTATACAAAAATCAAACATCTCTTCCGACTAAAAATCTTAAGTGGTGAAAAACTAGAAAAATTATAAAATTAATAGTAATTAATAAAACGATTATAACTTGAAATTTAATATGTTTGGGGTTTGAAAACTAAAATGAACCTTTAACATACTTTATATTTGGATGTTTGTAAAAGAATTACTTTGTATATCTAATAAGGTTTTTAGCGGATAATTTACTAGTGTAAAAATAAAGAAAGGCCATAAAAGCTATGGAAAAGTAAAATCATCAAGATTAATGCAAGTCCCAGTTTCGAACACACGACCATTCACATATGATGAATCCGCTTGAACCATCCGAGCAAGGCACTCCATTTATGAAGTAGGTTCAGCAGACTTTAATTTATACGTATTTATTTCTTAGAAAGATAATTTACACATAAAAAAAATACGAAACGGGTTCAATTGAACCCTCTTGAACCAGTGTAGGTCCGCCAAAAGGCGCTTGCTCTGGGTGTTAGGGGTCGTTGCTCACCCAAGCAAAAGGGTGTTTTGGAGCACTAAGGGCGACTAGTGGTTGCTTCTCTCGACAAGACTGAAACCTTCGCTTGCACCACTAGAATCGTTCTGGCACTTTGAGTTGTTACCAATAGTAGTGTAAACACACTTAGAAGCACTTTATAAAATCCTGGGCAAACAATTGCTGCTGAAAGGTATTTTTCAATTTAATTAGTCAAACACAAATTGCTTCTCACCAAAAGAACTTTTTTGAAAAACACTTTTGAAAAAAGTACTTCTCAAATAAATGAATTTTAGAAGTTTGGCCAAACAAGCTATTATAAAACCCTTATGTGAATAAAGTAATCAAACAGTATTCTAATTGTGATGCCAAAACTTTAAATAAAGTATAAAAAGACGAAAATGGGTTCGAAACTAGTCGTTCTGTGACAGGATATGAGTACAGTCAGGGTGGGGGTCAATTAAATTCTTGTTGTCCGATAATTATATTATGCAAGTAAAGTAAAAAAGAAACTCTCTTTGTGTATATTATATAATTGTCGCGCCCCAAATCTGGGGAGTCGTGGTAGGGCCCGAGCGTACCACTCTGTAACTGTGAACTCTGGAGGGGTAACCCAGGGTCTAGACCTGGTAACTCCGAGGATGTGGAGCTTACCAACCAAGTTGATGTTTGACTCTATCTACTGGAATGGCCTATCCAGCTGTCTATTAGGACCTGCAGGCAAGAGATGTAGCATCCCCAGCAAAAGGAGCGTCAGTACAAAATAATGTACCGAGTATGTAAGGCAAATGAATAACTTAAATCTGAAACTGAACTAATAATATAATAACTGAATATAACTGGAAGTCAAAGATAATTTGAAGATATGCTTACATGCTGATACTTACTCAACTCTCTCCATATAGTATGTAAAATAGTTGTCCGGCCCTATAAGGCTCGGTATGTGTAATTGCTCTGCCGTAGTAGGCTCGCTCATAGGCGCTCGGCCATACTAGGCTCTGTATCTTGGTCATTCTGGGCTCGCTCATAGGCGCTCGGCCACAGTAGGCTCGGTATATAACTTACCATCTGATCAGAGGTTGCCCAATAGGGGTCTGCCCATCGATTATAGCTCGATGATAGTGAAAATACTGTAGTAATATAGTTATTAAACACATATAGTTACGGGATCATGCCAAAATGAAGGAAAGGCTTAGCCTTAACATACCTTATCACAATCTGTCCAATAACCACGTTAAACTCGTCTCGTTGCACCTTAATCTACAACAACGATAACAATACTATGATCAAATTATGGAAGGTACAACTATCGCACAACGAACGACAAGCTTATTTTAAAATAAAATGGGCAGCATCTCCCCTATAATCTTTACTTCCTCCAAATTTGACATAACACCACCAACAACAATACAACAATAACAACATGTATACATCATTTTCCAACCTTATATCCATCATAGAATACCACAAAATAGCTCATACACCATAATTAGATCATACAAAAAATGACAACTCTAGTAGTGTCAAATAATCCGAAAATGTAATGGCGAACAACCAACCAACCACCTTGGCATTATGTGGTGTTTCTCCACACCATTTCTCCTCCCAAACTCCATAAAAGCAGTAGCAAAAGAGACAACCCAACAACTATACGAAACAGCCAATAAAACAGTCCTACAAGTACAACAACTCAAAATTGATTTTTCAGTTTACTAAAACACGTTTCGACTTGTCTTTTTTTTTTTCAAATTGAGCAACACAACCAAAAGTACATAATTAAGCCTCTTATCCAATAAATCAGCCATGAATTCAAATTAAAAATAAGTTTACAACCAGACAACATTGACGCAACAACAAACAACATACCACTCTTTCGAAACTCGCTAGGTCTAGTCTTTACGATTGAGTTACAACTCGTACAAGCATAAATAATGGAAGGAGAAGCATAAATTTACCTTGAACTGAGTAGAACCCACTAAGCCTAACCCTTATTCATCCAAAATTAGCTCCCCAACGCAGCTACAAGAAGGAGAAAGGGAAATTAGGAAGTTGTCCGGGCTTTTCGGCACTAGAATCATATCGTAACACCCAAAATAACCTAGGGTTTGTGTAAGATTTTTGGGGAGGAGTTGCAGGGGTTCAATATGGTTTTCTTGGTCTAAAAGATGGATGAAACAAATGAGTTGATAAGCCCTTAAAAGTCCCCTCTTGGCCGACTTTGGAGATTTTAATTGAGGCCTCTCCTTTTGGCAAGCAGGTGATGCACCTACTTGTCACCTACCAGTCTGTGCAGTCTCGCAAAACTGTGAATATCTCTCTACTCCAATGTTGTATAAATGAACGGTTTACTCCATCAGAAACTAGACTCATAGATATTCAATTTTGTAGGTAGATCATCCCATAATTCCAAGTACATTAGGAGAAAGGCTCATCTACATTTGACCTAATTTTCAGCATATTTATGAATGGAACTTGTGATGACTTTTTCCAACTTTTGTTCCACAACTCACTTGACTTCAAAACATAACACATGACTATCATACGACTAAAATAACTCATAACATAATCTCCTTATAATGTTAATCAACCTAGTCTCGCCCGAAAAGTACATGTTATAACATTCCAACTTGTCGACTTTCGACGAAACTTATTTTCTTCAATTTGTTTAGCTTCTAAGACTTCAAATCCTCTAGGTATTCATGATCTTAAATATTTGTAACCTCCACGTTAACATTATTAACTAACTTTGTAAACTTTTCAAAAGGTGATTTCATTTCTGAGCTTACATCAATTGTCTTACGACGTACTCTTACGTACGAAAATATGGGGTGTAACAAAATTGATGAATCCCAGTAACATAATAGAAGCTTCTAGATGTAGAATTTTTACATTGTATCCCTTATAAAAATTCGGGACTCCACCCATACGTGAGTAATGACAACAAGTCATGACGAATGAACATGGTAATCATCAAAGAAAGAGGTATTATAGAGAGAGAAATACCAACCTCTCTCTAATTCCAAACTAACCAAATAGCCACTCAGCAATGGCCACATCCCCACTTTCGGATAGAGACCCTCCTATCAGAATACCACCGAAACCCCCTGATGTTTCTAATGGTGACCCCCAGACTAATATGGAGGACAACATCCCCTCTAAAAACTCCTTCAAGGAAATCCTATTGGAAAGTAACTTGGTTCTTCTAGTAATTATGGAACACACTCTTCTGCGCCACAAAGTCATGACTTTGAGTTGAACGCAGGAAATATCCCAATCCCACTCTCCAATGAGGACCAAATCAGGTTATACCATCCATGGAAATACTCCTTAATCATCAAACTATTGGGGGAGGGAGGGGAATTCCACACCAATTATTGAGAGCAAAGCTCGCCCCATATTTGGAAACCAATTGAACCACTCATTCTAATTGATCTAGGATGAGATTTATTCATTGCTAAGTTCAACATGGAGGAAAGCATGAGCAAAGTCTTAATTGAGGGACCATGGTTTGTAGTTGGTCATTTCCTATCAGCCCGTAGATGGGAACCTAACTTCGTCCCGGCGGAATCAAAATTATCAATAACTGTGGCATGGATAAGGCTACCACAATTACCAACAAAATTTTATGACAGATCCATATTGGAGCAGGTAGGCAACAGTGTAGGCAAACTACTAAAAATTGATACATGTACCTCATCTACCTTAAGAGGTAGATATGCTAGAATTTGTGTCCAAGTTCAAATAGAAATTTCAATAACCACGAACACCACTATTGTTACTCAAAACCAAACAATTGTGTATGAAGGGGAGGAGATACTATGTATGGGATATGGGAGAAGTTGGCCACACACTGAGGAACTGTGATTTTGTAACCATACCTACCCAAGTAAATGATCAGGTGATATCTAGTAGTAGCTCCACTAACGAGGCCACTGCAAAACATCAAAGATCTCAATGGCTCACATTCCCCTTCTCAAAGAACAGGTGTAACCATCACAAGGGAGGTCAACCCCAAAGAAATAAGCAGGGGAAAACGGCAAAAGAAACCAGCATCCAAGTAAAGAGTTTCAATACCTCCTCAGGTACATTCCTAGACCC